GACATGGCTATGGTCTTTGTGGATTCTTTGAAACATCTCTCACCTTCCTGCTATTCTACCCCAACTACTGCCCCTCTCCCTCACTTTTTAAAGCAATTTCTGACATTTCTACCACCACCACCACCTCCAGGCTGGCACTTATTACACAATCCCTGCACCCCTCCTCTCTGACAGAATTATGATCATGTGTTTAATGTCTCTTCCACATCTGTTATAAACCTCCACCAAGGCAAGGGCTGTGTCTTTCTAGGTCCAAGTGCCTAGCAAGGAAGTGTTATTCAATTAAGGGAGCACAAATGGCAGAGATCCAGCAACCTAGCGCTTTCTCCATCTTGAACTCCATTCTTTGATAGATCTCATAGGTTTCTGAGCCCTGAGTCCTGTTCCCTATCCTTCTCTCCTGTATCTTCCTGGGGAAGTTCATGGGGGAACGAGAACCACTGAAGAAAGATCAAAAAAGGATCTAGGCACAGATAGGAAGGAAGGGCACCTGTTAGGACCTGCTTCTGCAAAAGCTGGCATGACTATTGGCGCTTGATCTCTTATCCTTTTACCAATCAGAAGTGTTGCATTTGTCTGGTACTGAGGCAGCAGTCGGCCTGAGGGCTGCACTACCAGATAAATGTCCACTGGGTGGTGCCAGACCTCCACTACCCTTGCCCATCTATCCAGGTCTCCCAGGGATGGGAGGAGGGGCCGGGACTCCTAGGAGCTGCTGGGCACCCAAGTCATTGATCCTACCCATGACACATTGTGGTAGGGGTATTCCTGGTCCACGATAATTAAGTCCCCCTCCTAGTGAAATATTCTTGAGAAGCCTGCTCAAGGGGCAGATAGCAGGTAGACTTTTAAACCAGATCTTTGGTCACTGTGGTCATTTCCTTCCCACTTCCCACTTGGTCTTTCCTTCGGTCATTCATGTTTTGATTATTAGTAGAAGTAATTATTATGAGCTATGATTGACACCCTGAGCTGGTGAGTAGATTATCCTGTATGTGGAAAAGTACTGCACATCCTTAGGCATCCTTTGTGGGCAATAGTATATGCAATTAGCAAGCCTTCCTAACTCCTGTTTAGGCCTTTATGGCTTCTTTGGATAAACAGCCCCAAGTTGGTTGGTTAAAAAGTAGTAGCTTTGCTTGGCAGTGCCAGTAGCTCATGTCTGTAATCCTAGTTACTCAGGAAGTTTGAGATCTGAGGATCACAGTTTGAAGCCAGCCTGGGCAGAAAGGTCCCCATAAGACTCTTATCTCCAATTAACCACTCAAACACCAGAAGTGCCACTGTGGCTCAAATGGCAGAGCACTAGCCATTAGCACAAAGAGGCTCAGGGACAGTGAGCAGACCCTGAGTTCAAGCCCTACAACCATTAGGAAAGGGGGAAAAAAAGGAGCAGCTTCTCTAGCCAGTGGAATCAGCCTAAAAGAATAACATTCTGAGCCATGGCTGGTAGATTATGCCTACAATCTTAGCTATCCAGAAAGCTGAGAGGAGAAGACTGAGGTTCAAAGTTAACCTGGGCATAAAAGCCTTCTCTAACTCCATCTCTAAAACAACCTGCAAAAAGCCAGGTTGGAAGAATGGCTGTCATGGTAGCATAACAGCCAAACAAGCAATCTGAGCAAATGTAAGGCCTTGAGTTCCAACCGAGACAGACTCAGTACCAGACAAAATAAAATTTAAAAATTTTACCTTACAGTTCTGGGAATCAATAAGCATGTATATATTCACCTCCTGATATTGCTTTAAAAAGTTACTTTTATTAAAAGAAAAAATTCTTAAGAATATTATCCAAGTGAGCTACTGTGTAGGCAGCCAATGTCTCTCCAGAACTAGTCTCCAGAGCTGGCTTTCTCTAAATCCCCAGTACTAGTACACCCCTTCCAGCTTTTTTATTTTAATTAAAAAAATTCTGTCCGTCTTCTGTAAAAGCAAAATGCATTCATTTGAGAAAATCTGGAGGAAAAAATAAAGGAAATAAAAATTACTCATGGTCTTTGACCAAGGTTTTGCAACCTCGATGTGATTCATCTTTCCGGGCAGGGTGAGTCTCTGCTGCAGGGAGATGTCCTGTTTATTGCCAGACACTTAGCAACATTCCTGGTGTCTAGTCACTATGTTCCAGTTAAGCACTCCCTAGGTGTAAGGATCACAATATCTACAGACACCCCAAAAATGTCCTCTGATGGAGAACTGTAATTGCAAACATAGTACCTCCATGAATGATGCTGTGTACCAGTGGGTCACGCCTATAATCTTAGCTATTCAGAAGACTGAGATCTGAGGGTCATGATGTGAAGCCAGTCTGGGCTAGGAGATGTCTGTAAGACTCTTATCTCCAATTAATGACCAACAAGTTGGAAGTGGAGTTATGGCTCAAGTGGTAGACCACCAGCCTTAGAGCGAAAAAGCCAAGGCAAGACACTGGGCCTGGAGTTCAAGCCCCGCTACTAGTACCACCATACATACTCTGGCTTATTTTTCTCCCAGTCATTTTTCTTCACGCATAAGCAGAGTTCTCCTGTTTCCAAATAAGGCTATCTATAGTCTCTGTTTTTTTTTTCTTGCTCAATATTAAACTATGAGCATTTCACCAAATTATTAAATTTTCTCCTAAAGAATGACTTTCTTTGGGGGAGGAGGGGTTGGGGATTTGGCTCAATGGAAGAGCATTTGCCTAGCAAGTACAAGGCTCTGAGTTCAGTCTTCAGCTCTGAAGAAAAAAAAGCTTAAAAATGCATTTTTATGGCTGCATAATGCCACTGTCTGGATGGACATCATGGCCACGGTCCCATCCCCCGTTGTTGGACAACAATGTACAGTTATAAATGACGCTTGAATGAGCAGCCTTGAATACCATTCACCATCCCTGAACATGGTCCAAAAGCAGATGCTGAAAAAGACCTTCCCATGTCAAAGGCTCATGATACACTATTTGGCCAGTTAGTTACACCCGTCAACATTTTTAAAAAAGTGGTTCAGTAACGGCTCTGTTCAGGGTCATGCTTCGGCAGGGAAGGAAGAATGAATGGACAGCTTGCTTCCAACACTTTCTCACGATGCTCAGGGCAGCCGTGTGGTTTGTGGAGGTTGAATCCTAGCAGAAGAGGTTCAGGTCTTCATAAACATGTCTCCTCAAGTCAGATGACCAGTGAGCTGACATTCTAATAGATCAACAGAAGCTGTGCTTAAAGAGGTTCATTGGGACTCGGCAAAAATGGAGCATACTGAGTCAGGTCTGACTTAGGAAGGGTTACATGAGTAGGAGACTAGGAGATCAGACACATCTCTGTGTACTATTGACCGAGCCTAGATCCTCATTACTCAGGTTTGGTCCCTGGTAGTCTTGAAACAAACATCTCATGTGTTCTGCTCCTGGATTAGACTCTTTAATAAGAGGCCCAGCATACATTCTGTTAACACTCATATCTAAATTCTCTGCCAGACTTGACTGAACTGAACCTGAGTCCAACCAATACTCAGCCTCCTAAGAGAATAACCGAGTAAACATGTGCAAGTCAACACTCTTGCTTGTGTTGAAGTTGAATGTCACATTTTAATTGATGGTACTAACAGAACATAGGGGTCTTTGCTGACTGGGACACAAAAGCCACTACATAAACAGCTATTATTTTATCATCAGTGTTATCATTAATTATCATAGTTATTATCATTAGCATCATCACCCCCGGAGGCTGGCATTTTGATTTCAAAAAAAGGCTGTGGTGGAGTTTGGTGGTTTCATTAAGAAATTCTTCTTGGGGAATTGGCGCTATAGCTCAAGTGGTAGAGCGCTCACCTTGAGCTGAAGAGCTGAGGGACAGCGCCCAGGCCCAGAGTTCAAGTCCCATGACCGACCAAAAAAAAAGAAATTCTTCTTGGGTTGTGTATAGTGGTACATGCCTGGAATACCTGCTGTTTTTGAGATCTATGTAAGAGGATGGGTCTGGGTTAGCAATATATGAAACCTTATCTGAAAATTAACTAAAGCAAAAAGGGCTAGAGGTGCGGCCCAAGTAGCAGAGTGTCTGTTTAGCAAGGGCAAGTCTGAGTTCAAACCTCAGTACCACCAAGATGGGAAGTGTCTTTTTGATCATCTGTGAGCACAGTAAATGAGATGAATCTTCAGTTTCTTAGAAGGTGCTGAACATAATCGGAGAACCAGGAGGTATGGCATCATGGTGTGGGGTGAAATCTGACTTGCGCCATTGTGGAAACGTGTCTGATCATGTAACGGGTCTGTGCCTCTGTGGTCTTGTGCACAATCCAGGAGAGACCTTGATAGCCCGCCCTGCACCCTGGCACAAATGTCACCCAGGACGGAGAATGAGCCGGCACATCTTCCCAGATGTTCTGTCTGACAGCTATACCTATGCAGGCTAAGCACTGAGATAACCAAGTTTTAATCAAGGACCATTCTGGCCTGGGTGTCAGTGGCTTACATCTGTAATCCTAACTACTCAGGAGGCTAAGATCTGAGGATTGTGGTTTGAAGCAGGAAGGCCTGTGAGACTCTTATCACTAATTTGTCACCAAAAGCCTGAATGGAGCTGTGGCATAAGTGGTTTAGCTCTAGAGGCAGTATCTAAGCTCTGAGTTCCAGAAAATATGCTCAGGGACTGTATCCAGGCCCTGAGTTCAAGCTCCAGGACTGGCATTAAAAAACAGTACCATTCTGGGGAAAGCTTAGGGGAAAACCTACGGGTAGGCCAGAAGGGGAGAGAAAAGGACAGAGGCCTACCTCACTCCCACCCTGAGTGGTAGAAATCTGGATTCTCCTGTCAGCCCATCTCCTTTTCCAAACCAACCTGGATTTCCAGAAAAACCAACTTACTACAGTCCTTTGATGCTCACCCATTAGAACTCAGCCAATGGTTTTCTACTCAGGGGCAGAACTGGGTTGAAATCTCTGGCTTCCCGATGTACCCATTTTTAACAAGCCCTTCCTGGGCCTACACAACAGCTGCTCTACCCCTGCCTCCCCTAATGGGACCCCTTACCTGGGAATCACCGGTGGGTTTTCGGAGACTCATGTGGGCAGTCTCTGGAGGGTGCGCTGGGGTCCCTGATGCGTGGTATCCATTCACTGCGGGGACAGAGACATGGCTCAGATGCTGAGTGGGCCCAGAGAGGCCTCCTCGACTTCCGCCACCGGAGTCCCTTCTCCCACCTCCTCCCTGGCTATGGGGAGAGGTCTCATGTGTCTGCCATCATCTCTCTCTGAGGAACGATCAATAGCAGCCGTGGTATTTCTCTCTAATGTCTAGTATCAGGAGGAGTAAATTCTTGAAGGGTTAAGTTTTTTCCTCAGGAATGTTTAGCAGAAGCAGAAGCTGTTGGAGTCCAGTGGCCCTTGTAAACAAATCAGCTGTTCAAACTCAGAGCACTGTGATGTAGCTACCAGGCTGAGCATCCGTTTTCCAAAATACATGGGATCCAAATTGTTTCCGATTCTAAAGCTAGGAGCTGGTGGTTCATGTCTGCAATCCTAGGTCCTCACCAGGCTGAGATCTAAGTATTGTGGTTCCAAGCCAGCCTTGGGCAGACAAATCTATGAGACTCTTATCTCCAATTAAACCACCAAAAAGCTGGAGGTAGAGGTATAGCTCACATGGTAGAGCATAAATTCTGAGGAAAAAGAAAAAGCTATGTGAGAGCTCAAGGTCCTGAGTTCAAGCCACAGTCCTGGCTCATTAAAAAATGGTTTCCGATTTCAGAGACTTAGGATTATGAAATATTATGAAATATTAGCATAGACTTGGCACAGGTTATGTATCCTTAATCCAAAGATTCCACATCCAAAGCTTTCTGAATATCATGTGAGTGCTCAAAAGTTGATGCTCCTGATGTGGAGCAGTAAAGAGCACTGGGTTTACTAGTTACCATAAAACTTGGTTCTGTCAATTCACAACTGGTGATCATACACACAGATTCCTGAGTCCTAGTTTTCCTGAAAGTTAAAAAAAGAAAAAAAAAGGAGTCCAATCCCTAGGGAACATGTGCCATTTGGGGAACTCACGCCCCCAATAGGTGCAGATAAACTCGCTCTCCTACGGTCAGGGAAGACCCTCATTTGTAGCATTTCCGCCCCCCCCCCCCTGCAGAATAAACTCTCCCACTATGGTCTCTTCAAGCTTCAAGCCCCGCCCCCCCCCCCTCGGACTCTTCTCCTTCTTCTTTTCTTTCCTTTTCTTCTTCTTTTGTGCTACTAGGGTTTGAACTCAGGGCCTAGGCATTGCCACTTTAGCTTTTTCCCTCAAGGGTAGTACTTTTCCAACTTGAGCCACTCCTCCACTTCTGGCTTTTTTTTTTTGGTTGTGGGGCTTGAACTCTGGGCCTGTGCTCTGTCTCTCAGCTCAAGGCTCAAGGCATGCACTCTACCACATAAGCTCCAGTGCCACTTCCTATTTTCTGGTGGTTCATTGGAGAGACTCACAGACTTTTCTACCTGGGCTGGCCTCCTGAGTAGCTAGGATTTCAGGCATGAGCCACCTATCCCCGGCTCATTTCTGGCTTTTTGTTGGTTCATTTAAGATAGAAGTCCCATGGTCTTTCCTGCCTGGGCTCTAGCTAGGATTACAGGTGTGAGCCACCAGTGACCAGCTCTGAATGCTTCTGATATCATGACATTATCCCGGGGCGTACACCATCGCTGTTCCCTGGCTCTTGTCCAGTATAAGGTTCCACAAGGTTAGGGAGATGTTTCCCCTTAGCTTCTGTACCTGTCAAGTGGGGGGTAATTCTTCCCTACTTTTCACACTTTCTTTGTTACAGGGACGATCTGACCAGGTGACAATTGTAAAAGGGGCCTCTGTATTATAAGGTACTTCACTAGAAATGGGAAGGGGAGGCACAGGAGACTGCTGTTTTGTCCCTAAATGTAGTCCCCATGGACCTCAGGCTAGTGCACTGGAGGTTGGGAGAGCAGGCATGGAGGAATTCCAGAGCATGACCCCATGCACAGGACTAGAAGGAGACACACAAATTGATGTCTATGCCCCAATTCTTCTTGAGAAAGCTCTGCCCCATGGCAGGAAGCAAAGGAGGAAGTATCTAAGCAACAGCAACTACATACTAAGCATCTCTCATTCAAAAGTCTGAAATCCAAAATGCTCCAAAATCAAAAACTTTTTGAATGGCTTTGTGACGTCATTAGTGATTCCACTATATGATTCCACTATATATATGTAATGTCACACGTAACTAAAATGGATAAAATAGATATAATGGAAGTTTAAAGGCAATCATGCAAAACCTCAGTACTTTGTTTTTGGCCTAGAACTGGTTGATAGACAAGCATGAGGATGAACAAGATATGAATAATAATTCAATTAATTAACTTTTGTGCCAGTACTGGGGCTTAAACTCAGGACCTGGGCTTTTTGTGCTTAAGGTTAATGTTCAAAGCTAATGCCACAGCTCCATTTCTAGCTTTTTTTCTTTTTCCTCTTTCTGGTTAATGGGAGATAAGAGTCTCTTAGAATTTCCTGCCTTTGCTGGCTTTGAACAATGATCCTCAGATCTCAGCCTCCTAAGTAGCTAGAATTAGAGTTATGAGCTACCAGTGCCCAGTTGAATAATTCATTTTAAAGGGCTGACTGAGCTAGATGTGTTAAATATACACAAAGATGACATCTTTAGCCAAGAAACCAGGAACCATTAAAAACTGGCCAAATTTCAGCTACATATAAAGTTTCAATAAATGGGAAAGTCATAAATAACTTCAGTCCTATTATTTAACCCGAAACAGATAAAAGTAGAGATTAATGATGAAAGAATAAACATATATACAAGGGTCCCAATCTCCAGGTCCCAAATACTTGGAAAGTTAAGAAATAATGTAGGGTTAAAGGAGGATCTAAGACTATTTTTGGACAGTATCTAGAAAACAATAAGAGGAAATACTAACCAGTATAAACAGGTTAAAACCTGATTATACTGAGAGCAGAATCTATAGTCTTAATTATCCTTTTACTAAACACAGAAGAACAGGAATAAATGGATTCAACTAAGATTTTAGCAAAAGGTCTTAGAAACAAACCAAATAAAAACAGAAGAAAGCAATATCAACAGAAATTAATTAATTAATTAATTAAGCAATTAATGGTGAATGGGGGGGCAGGGATAGGAACCACAATAGGAAAAAGAGATGAGCCAGCCTAATTTAAGAGAGACCACAAATGGTCAGAATTAAGAATCAAGGAAAAAATACATTGGCGCAATAAATACAGCAGGGTTATTTCATTAAATTCACTAATGTTTTGCTCCAAATTCTGTACTATTGAAAGCCAAACCTTCAAAGACAATCAAATCATGAAAAATTGGTTTCAAGGAGCACAAGAATTGCCCATCAAAGAGTAAAATCTGAAAAGTTACCTCCCCACCCAAGGGCTCTGGCCCCAGATTGGCATGATGGGTAAATCTGTTCAAATTCTCAAGAAAGGAATACCCAGGCAGCAACTGTCCCCAAGCCCAGAAACAAATGGAAAGTCTCCTAGTCAATACACAGAGTCAACATGACCCTCAGCCTAAAAATCAAATAAAGACACCACAGAAAAGGAAAGAAAACACACCATTCAGTCTGATGATGAAAAATGAAGCCAGCCATGATTTTACCTGAACAGGTATGGTCTCTCTTTCTGGGGATGCTGAAAAGCAAGATTGCTCTGGAGGGCAAAAACTGTGTTCCTGGCCCTTACTTCCCCTTCTCAGGACCTCAGAGCGCACCCTCAGTAGGCCACTTTCTGCTTCTGCCCCAGCCCCACTAGGCTCACAGCCCAGTGTGCTAAGAGCAGCCAGGACCCATCTCATGCACGGGCATTCTGCCCCTAATCCAGTCCCTTGTTCTCTCTTCAGTTCTGGTCTGTCAGCTGTTGGCTAATTACTACTCATGTCAAAACAATTACTGGGAAAGAAAGACGAGTTTTCCATTCAACCATTTCTCCCTACACAGCAGCTCTCCTCTGACACTGTCTCAGGCTCCCGGGCACATTCAGAAACCCTAGCAGTGGAGATGGAGACCGAGATGGCCCATGAGATCCTGGCAGCCTGGCCCAGGAGCCTTTGCAACAGACATTTCCTGTGCTCTGGGTTCCTGCCTGGTTCACCACGCATCAGCTGCAAAGTAAACGAGTCCCAGAGTGGAGTTGCCTGGGGCTTCTAGGAAGCCGGGAAGTGAAGTTGCTTAAGGACCACTCATACATCCGATTCAAGTTGGGAATAGAAGAAAAAAGTCAAATGCTCAACTCAGTGGGGGAAGGGGTTAAGCTTTAAAAGAGAGAAACAAAATGTTATCTAGTAAGTTTAGTAAGTCCACGTAAACACAGGCACACACACGTTGCTGTATGCACAGTCAGATAGGGATTGGGAGATGTATAGGAAGAGGAGGGGACAGATATCTAGATATCTCTCTACAAAAGTAGAGAGAAGGAACAAAAAAGCTAGCTGAGACCAAGCACCAAAGACCTGCCATGTGGAATTCTTCCTTGCTAGAGTTCTGCCTCCCCTTTACAGCCCTGCCCCTGTCACAGAAAGCCCCATTCTCCGCACCCCACTTCCCAGATTCCTATTTCCTGGAGGATACAAACAATACAGGAAAACCAATCCTTGCCTGATTCTTTCTTTTTCAGGTTAAGAAACCTGAAACCTTTTCAGCCATGGTTCTTGAAATCTATCCTTTCTTTTACCAATCTACTAACCTATTCATCATCCTTCCTTGCTTATCTGTTCAATTACCCACTCACCCACCCTTTCTTCCATTTATCCATCTAAAATCACCTTTCCACCTGCCATTCAAAACCTGATTCCAGACATTCTTCCTACCATCCACACAGCCACACGCCATATACCCAAACACCCACTTATCTACCCATCTATCCATTCTTTTATTCATCCATCCATCCATCCATCCATCCATTCATCCATTCACTTCATGCGTCCTTCTTTTTCCATCCATTTACAGTTAGCCATCCATCTTCTCTTCCCTTCCCTTCTCTCCCTTCCTTCCTTCCTCCCTTCCTTCTCTTCTTTCCTTTTTCCCTCCCTTCCTATCTATCATATATTAAATGAGGTAGAATACATTATTTCCTCAGCTGTGTTATTGAGAACCTTAGTTAGGCAGTATTTATTAGAAATATTAAGCATTGAAGGAAAGGCCAGGGTTGTGTGATGCAGAGAGCTTGGGGGCCAATGCCCCTATCACTCACATTTGTATATTTACAGTAGGTTATGAAATCTGTCCACTGGTGAGCCAGAGCCTCCTAAGACTGCACTGCGCATCATTCCATGTGAGCACAGAGACAGACCCGTGTGGGGCCAGGAAAGCAAAGACTGCCAGAACCTACCTTGGGAAAGACAGCTGTGGCTGCAAAAACACAGGGCTTGAAGTCAAGGAAGCCAGAGCCAGTTCTGAGCTCAGCATGCTGATGGTACAGTGGGCACAGTGCAGAAGTTTCTATCTGGACTACTGGTTCCCACTGTCTGCCTTGGCTGTCTAAGACATTTTTCACCTATGGCTGTGAATGGCTGGAAACAGAGGCTCTTTTTCCAGGGGTGCCAAATGTTAAACAAGTTTCTGTAAAGTCTCTGGAGCCTCGGCCCCCAGGAGTGTGGGTTCCTAAAGGAATGCTTGGAATTCTAGCTCTTAGAAGGCAGAAGCAGTAGGATCTCAACTTTGAGTTCAGCCTGGGCTACTTGGCAAGACTGTCTCAAACAAACAAAGACAAACAAACAAAAGGAACACCAAGCCAAAAAGGACCATTCAAGCCTCCTTCTAGTAATGGGTGCCAGGGCATCTCCTGACGTCAACAAGGAAGGTCTGTTTTAGGGGTGTGGGAGCCACTCTGGGCCTGGTGAGTAGTTCAGTATGTAAGGAGGGGCAGTCCCCCTTGTGGTCCTGGATGGGAGTGGTGAGCCATCCAGGGCTTTAAGGATCTGGGAAGAAGAGGTGGACAAGGTGAAGCTATGAGTTTACAGCCTCTTCCCCATGAGCCTCCGTGTAGGGGAGACACAGCTCTCTGCTCCAGCACTCCTGGTTGGTTCCTCATCCTCCTACAGACAGGCAGGACCTCCCTGATTTTGGTTGTCTCTCCCCTTTAATTTGGGTTCCCAAAAGCCTAAGGATGATGCCTGGCTGGCTCAATCCTTAAGGTGGAACACAGCCAGATCCAAAGCCAAGTTTCCCAAAACACCCTTCCTAAACTCCTACGAGGGAACCTCCAGCAGATAACAGGTTTTCTCTATCCTGAGGGAAAATGCAAATACAAGTTCAATGCCAATTCTTAGCCTAGAGGATTAGAAAACCCCTCCCTGCATCTGCTCTGTAGGATAGAGTAGCCAATAGCCACAAGTGGCTAAGTACACAGAAACAAATCAGATTTAAATAAAACTTAAATGTGATATCACTTCCAGGATTGGATCATCGATTTAACAAAAAGACATTAATGGGAAAATATGAGATGAGAATAAAAACACTGTATTAGTAGGATAATGTTAATTTTGACAAATCAATAGAATGTCAACAGGAGAAATTGATGGGGGGTACTGAAGGTGCAGGTGGCTCACACCTGTAATCTTAGCTAAGCTACTCAGAAGGCTGATACCTGAGTATCATGATTCAAAGCTGGCCCAGACAGGAAAGTCAGCAAGAATCCTACTGCCAATTAGCCACCCAAAAGCTGGAAGTGGAGTTGTGGCTCAGTAATAGGGCACTGCTTAGGCCCTGAGTTCAAGTCCCAGGACCAGCATATGTGTGTATGTGTGTGTCTGTGCATATGTGCATGTGTGTGTGTGTGTGCATACACGCAAGCACAAGCATGCACATGCACATACACACACATACTGGCTCTTTACATGGGCTCATGAATTACATAAAGGCAGGATAAAAGTTCAACATCCCATCTTCCATTTTGTATCTGTGCCCTTTGCTCTGCTGAGCCCTTCGCTCCTGTCATCACTTCACAAGCACGTTGGAAGCTAGAAAAGATTCACTACCTTCTAGGCATCAATGACTTGTTTATCCTGACCTGGCTGTCATAACCACTGCCCCAGAACCAGGCTGCTCCTAACCAGTCTTGGGACTGTTTTTTCATACCTTTTGCCTCTTGCCTCTAGTTCCTTGTCCTTTTAAACCTATAGTTCATGTCCATACCCTAAAGACAGACAGGATGGAATGAAGCGTTGTCTCTCTCTGGCTGTCAATGCCATGTAATGAACCTGCTCTGCCCTTCCCTCATCTTTTCTCTCTTGGCATCATATAGTAGCACCTGTTTCCCCTCCCTGGCCCCCACCCATTCCCTGCAGTACTTGCCTCTGGCTTACCTGGCTTGGCAGGCTCTGCCTGCACTAACTCCAGTCTTTTAACTCCTGTCATTCTCCAGCTTGTCCCAACCTCATCCTCCAGACCTACAGGTCCACTTTCTGTTTACATCTTCTAATGTTATTCCTGCCTCAGGGCCTTTGCGGTAACAGATCCCTGGCTAGAACTCATTCCTATTCCCCCATCCATCTTGGAATTGTCCTTAAAAGAACCTAGATGTCATTTCTTCTACGAGGCCTTCCCTGATCTTAGTTACCCTCTGTCACCCAGCCCCACTTTCCTTCCTATGCAAGGATGTGACCCATTTCTTGTGTTCTCCTCTGTTCAGCTCCCCAGAAATGGTACCTGTCTATCTGTGGCTATGTCCCCATTATGGAGAAACACTGCTGACATATTTAGGAATAAAAGGGGCTGCCACTCCATTTCTGTGGCTTTCTCAGAAACAGGAACACAATAGTTCAGGCTAAGATCCAGGTGCTCAAGGGGTCCCCAGGACAGCAGTCCACAAACTCTTGAAGCCCGAGGACAGGAGCCAAGTTTTAAAGCAACCTGGTATTCCTGCCACATCGATTTCTCTTTCCATAATAAAATTCCACCTTCTGAAAACTGTTTGTAGAGCTAGATGGGGGAAGAGGGGACTGAGTGCTCCTCCAGAGAGTGTGGTTACTACTTTATCCTTTAGTTTTGATATTTAGCTTCAATGAGAAAGAACAAAGCATCTGGCCAGAAAAGACAGTTGAGCTTTGCCCCCTTTATCTGGCTGGCTGGTCTGGAATGAACCGGAAAGCAGGGTCCCGCCTCGTATCATTCATGCTGGCAACTCTATTGTTAAAACAGCCTCAGGAGCAGTCGCAGCAGAAGGAAAGGCTGTGTGCTTGGAACTATCTCTGGTCATCTAGCATGTAGCTAGGAAGGCTGAAGGGGAACATTTCCGGGGACTTGGTCTGAGGCTGCACCATCTCCTCAGGAAATGGGACTTATTTTCCTCTTGCATAGGGAAGTCCTTTATAAAAAATATTTTATTCAAGTAAAAAGAAACATATGTCATACATTTTTTAAAAAAAGTTAAAACATGGAAGAACTTTCATTAAGACCCCCTCCCCCCACTACCACCAGTGTTACCTCATTTGATTCCTCCTAAGGAACTGTGTCACTGTCATTTCCAGTTCCCAGCAACTTTCCCATCCCTCACAACGCACTGGTATGAGTTGCTTTTTGACAATGAGCACCACGTGGTGAGTCTCTTACCAACTTTTGTTCTGCGGTTATCTGTGCAGATCTTCAGACTACTTTTTGTTCCGAGAACTTTATAAGAATACTTTCCTTCCTCTCCAGAGGCTGAGGATGGTGGCTTCCCTCTCTTGCTGGTGTTTCTACCCTTGTCCTGCTAGACTTTCTGCTGAGTTCTCTCTCTCTCTGGATGTATGTACACACACACACACACACACACACACACACACACACACACACACACATACAGATAAATTTTGACAGCAGCACTGGGAATTGAATACTTGAATAATAATGAATTCAGGGCCTCATGCTTACAAGACTAGAGCTCTGTCGCTTGAATCATGCCTTGTTTTTTTTTTTAATTGTGAAAATACTGTACAGAGGGGTTACAATTACATGGGCAAGATAATGAGTACATTTCTTATCAAGCATTGTAGCCTCCTCCTTTGTTTCCCCTTCCCAGCCTCCCTCGCCTCATGCCTTGTTTTTTAAGATAAGGTTTTGCATTCATCTTCGATGACGATCCTCCTACTTCTGCCTGCTGAGTAGAGTGGCTGGAATTATAGGTGGGATAACCACACTCACTCTTAACTTGTTCACAGTTAAATTCCCAGCTACCCTTCAGCACCAAGTTCACTTTCTAAAGGGGAGACCCATCAAGTGTGCTTGTGACATTTGTGACACTCAGCAACACAACCAGGCTCTGTGTGGGCCCCCAAGTGTCCATTAAGTAAGAAAAACGCAACTACTACCCTCAAGGAACTCCCTGTAGAGTAAGGAAGATCAGTAATCACAGGGAGAAGAACCTTGAATGAAGTCAAGCAGCATGCTCCATGGCTCTACAGCAAGCAAGTGAGGGTTTTAAGCAGATATCAGGGAAGACTCCCCAGGGAAGGTGACATTTCAAAAGACCTACACCATGATATATTCACAGCAGATCTCCCAAAGGGTAAGTCCCACAGCCTTCTTCCTGGCACATCAGCACTAGCTGTCTTCTAAGGAATCGCAGACAAACCTCAAATAAGGTCTACTTCAAAGGCCTCATGTGCTGACCTCTGCAGACAAAGAACTCACAGCCTCCACAAGAATTCTAGAACATTCTGTTTGCCCTGTAAAACTCCATATCCTTTTAGCTTCTAATCCTCAGTGTAGGGATGGAGCCATTCCATCCCTACATCGGGCAGGACCTGGGCTATGGGATCTCATTCTGACATCACGTGAGCTGCAGCCACATCGCCGGGTGTCACCAAGCTGCCAGGCAGACAGCTTCAGGGTCCTCATCCAGCCCGAGCCCTCCTGCTCTGGCTGATGGGACCCCCAAGCTGGCTTTCAGGCCTTTCCCATGATAGAGGCATAGAACTCAAAGTTGCTATCCAAAGTTGATGAGTGCACGGTACCTGTTGGAGGCAGAGAGCTCCTGTGAGGGCCAGGGCTGGCTGAAATCCCAGGAGAAGTGCTGGGGCGTTCCCAGGTGGTCTCTGGTCAAAGAAAAAGAAAAACCACAGTGAGAATTCCACAGGGTGAAACCCCGAGTGTCCCAGCAACCAATGGGACACGCAGCCACCTTCCTCCCTTACCTCGGCTGCACAGGACCCTGGCTTCCTGCCCACATCTAGCCCCCGACCAGTCTCCAAGATAGCCAGCTTCTCTTTGCAGGTGGGGGTAGAAGTCTTCTCCATGGGCTGAGTAAGGTGCCTTTCTGGCTGGGATCCTCTGAAACATCCCCAGAGCTGGTACCGACCCAACCTCACCCTCCCACTCCCTTGTCCGCTTCTGTCCCTGGGACTTCAAAGTCTAGTCCCAGGATCCCAGCCATCGACTGGCATTTATTCCCACATGCCCATCGCTACCTGAAGGTTCTAAAGTACACAAGAAGGAGGCTTGGTCTAAGAGCTGTCAAAAAAAGAAAGAGGCTCTTCTCCCTTGGGGTTGTGAGATGCAGAAACCTTCCTCGATTTTCCCAGTGTTCAACCTATGACTGCTTCCTCTGCCTGGCCCCCTCTCCCTCCTCCAAACTCAGCTAAACATCCCATAAGAGATAAATCCAGTACCATACTTCTGTTCTTGTCCCCCAGCTTGACTTTCCCCACTTCAATGCCATGAATTATCTGGTAATAAAATAAATTATCTAGTAATTAAAAACAATACTTTTGTTTTTGCACTTGGGAGGCTGAGGCAGGAGGATTGTGAGTTTGAGACCAGCCTGAGGCAGGTGGTGAGATCCCTATGTCACTGACAAAACAAAACAAAAGTTATCCCATCCCGGTGCAGGAAAAGAAAAAGAAGAAAATTGGAGTGACAGCAACACTGCTGTGGGCAGAACATCATCATCCATGGGGCTTCCGTCCCTGTACTAGCTAGCCTGGGTCACCTCTAGACCCCAGAAGGTAGAATCCCAGTAAGTGCTATATGCCCTACCCCACCTTCCAGCTGGCCCAAAAGGCTCAGTCCAGTTGATCTCTGAAGCTTGGCTAGGACACAAAATCAAACCTGAAGCAGGGATGGAACCGAGCCAGGCCAGGCCAGGCTAGGCCAAGATCTATGGCTCTGGCTAGGTGACCTCACCAGCAGCAGGACCCATCCCACTGATGACCATACCACCCACAGAAAGAAGGCCATTTCCAGGCCTTTTCCCATGGAAGATTCTCTGATCTACTTACAATGTACTAGGCTCTTGGATCAAGCCAGGATGAGACTTGAAGGGGTAGCTTGGAGCCTGAGTTGCCCTGAACTAAGGCCCTTTTGTATTTTCTAAGCTTCCATCCCTGGGGCCCAAGGTCATCTGGAGTGATGGCCACCCGGACTCCATGTGGGCTGAGCTCAGGGTAGAAGGACACAGATGGCCTTGGGTCACCCCCCCCCCCCCACCCCAAACCCAGCTGACCCACAGCATTCTTTCTTAATGGTGATAACTTCCTCCAGTCCTTGTCCACTGAAACCAGGGCAACCAGATGTGCACAAATGATGGGGCCTGGATGCAGTGAGTTTGCTATCCTCACTACCAAAGCCAAGGGTCAGGATGGAAACAGAAGCCAGGCCAGGATGGGAGGATTCTGGAGCAAGCCAGGCCTCTGTCTGTGGTTTACAATGACTGTCCCTAGAGCAAAACCTGTGAAGAGAGAGGGCAATGGAGAAGCTGAAAGCTATGTAAATCTGAGTTTCAAAGCACAGAAATCTGTCTTTAAAATAATGATGATTGCCAAGGGCTGGTGGCTCAGGCCTATAATCCTTAGTTACTCAGAAGGCTGAGATCTGAGGATTGTGGTTTCAAAGCTAGCCCAGGCAAGAAAGTCTGTGAGATTCTTACCTCCAGTTAACCATCAAAAAAAAAAAAAAAAAAAGCTGGGACCGAAGGTATGGTTCACATGGTAGAGTTCCAGCCTGAAGCAAAAAAAGCTCAGCACCCAGGCCCTGAGTTCAATCTCCAGGACCAACACACACACACACACACACACACACACACACACACACACACACACACACACACACACACACACACACACAAATAGAACAAAAACTAAGAAATAAATATGTGTTATCTTTTCCACTGTAAGATAAGAAACTGAGGCCACTGTGAGAAATGGCATTTCTGAGTCTTTGTGTGACAATAGAAGCTACCACTTGTGGATTAGACATGTCCTACCAGGCTCTATGTGGGGGTGCTTGAACTATAGAAAAAAAAAGAAACAAAAAGAAAAGTGCTGTTTAAAATCTCTACCTGAGAACTATCCTCAGAGGTAATGTTATTATTCATTCAACGAATTTGAAGGCCCACTGTGTATCTTGGGCTGTTCTGGACATGAAGGTAGGGTACTGCAGAGAAGATAATAGTTAAATATTCCCTCCTTTCCCTCAGCTTCAATTCTAGTGGACATTATGCCTTTCTACTTTTTTTTTTTTATTTTGGACAGTTATGGGGCTTGAACTCAGAGCCTATACACTATCCTTGAGCTTTTTCGCTCAAAGCTAGCACTCTATCACTTTGAACCACAGCACCACTTCCACCATTCTACTTTTAAATAAATGTTGAAAAGTTCTAGATTCTCTTCTCATTTTAGAATGTGCATTGGGGGTGGGGAGGAGTTAGACGAGGGAACACATAATAAAGATGGAAACTAGTCGACTCCAATGTTAGTACATGCCAAAGAGAATAAAGCAGGGAAGGGAGATAAAGAATATATTATAAAGAAGCTGACATTTTAATAGGACTCACTGAGAAAAGAGCATTTGAGTAAAGGCCTGAAAGCTATTTTTTATCCATCTATTGCGACATCTCAGACGACCCCAAACTAAGCAGTGGAAAACATCAAATGCTTATTATCCCATGTGGTTTCAAAAAGTCAGGACTGCAAAGGAGATGCTTAGGCTAGGATACTTCCCAAACCCCACATGGAAGCAGCTTCCTCCACTTGTGTTTCTCATGTTGTGGTCACAGAGCTGATTTCCTTAATTGTTTTGTGACTCCCAGGAGAAATAGTGCTGCAAAAGACACTCCTACTTAGGAAGTTTCATACTGACCACCATCCTATACCAGCTTCTGCCACGATCTGTGATTCTACCTTTTACTTCCCCTGTGCAGCAGAGTGGGAAACAACAATGCTTCTCTCCAACATCTGCCCACACATTGCTGGAAAGGAGCCAGCCCAGAACTGTAGGATCAGCCATGTCCCTTCACCAAGGGAATGGCTACTGAGCCACTGCTGACCCAGATTGTCCATCCCAGACAGCCTAGAGTTCCCCACAAGTCCATGTCCTGAGCTTTAACCAGCACAGACTCTGAGCCCTGAGGATCCAAGGTCTTAGGTGGGAAGCTGTGACAGGAGTGGATCCTGGGGAGGGGAGAAGATGGGAAGGGAGAGGAAGGAAAGGGAAGCAGGGGCTGACATCACTCTACTTCCCAGGAGTCACCAGGCAGCCACACCCAACCAGGCACTGACCCTTGACCAATGAGCCTGTCTGGGCACTAAAGGAGAGGTAAGTTCCGGGGAGAAGGGACCCAATAGTCTTGGGAAAGGAAAGGAATGTAACAAGGATCTGGCTCTGCTGTTGTGTCAAGGATATCCTTCATCAGCTGTGAGGTAGCGCTGGCATCTCATAAACACCAGTTCGGCTCCAAAGCACATCCCTCATCTCCAAATGACCATGCCACTAAACTTCAGTTTTCTTATGATGCTCTATGAGTGACTACGCCATATTCCAGGTCTGTGGTGCCATGGAGAGGAGCTTAGGGGGCAAAGACATCTTTTAGCACTTTTTCTTTGGTCAGCCATGAGGCTTGAACTCAGGGCCTGGGCTCTGTCCATGAGTTCTTCTGCTCAAAGCTAGTACTCCTCCAGTCTGAGCCTCAGCTCCACTTCTGGTTTTCTGGTGGTTAACTGGAGACAAGAGTCTCGGGGACTTTCCTGCGTGGACTGGCTTTGAACCACAATCCTCAGATCTCAGTCTTCTGAGTAGCTAGGATTAGAGGCATGAGCCACCAGTGTCTGGCCCCTTTTCCTACTTTCTAATGCAGCGGGAGTCTCACAGATCCTGAAGAGTAATGTGTGATAAAATCCTCTTTATCCCTTCCATCCTCTCCTCTGCTTCCCAATCCCCTCACCTGTCCCTGCCTCTGATGGTGCTGGGAGCAAAGGGGAATTAGAAAGTTTTCCATAGTAAAGCTGAGCTGTTGTGTGTATGTTGGGGGGGGGGTGGTTCCCTAGTGCTCCAGGAAACCTCACTGTCAGTGGGTCCCCAAATCCTCCACAGCTTACAAGATCCTTAAAATAACCCTGTGATCCACAGGGAGCCTTTGACTGGCAGAGCAGGCCAGAAAGGCAGGGCCTGGGATGGCCCTGTGGTATTTTGTGGCATTCCTCCACAAAACTCTGGGAATCCCTAAGCATTTAGAGAGAACTCACCTGACCCACTTGGGGACTGAGAGCTAAGGAAGGTTGTCTGCAATATAGGAAAAAAGTGTTCCATCACTAAGCGGACAGGTGTGTGTGTATGTGTGTGTGTGTGTGTGTGTGTGTGTGTGTGTGTGTGTGTGTGTGTGTGTGTGTGTGTGTGTGTGTGCAGCAGCAGCAGCCGACTAGATCAGCTGTTAGTCACTAGCAAACTTAATTCTAGCAATTGTTTTGCGATGTCGCTCATTCCCCAGACATGTCCCATGCACGAGAGGGAAGCTTTTGGATGCTATGCCTCAGCTTATAGACTTTATGTACAATGTGACTGAGAAAAACCACAGGCAGGTGCCAGAAAGCAAAGCCTTTCCAATCCAAAGCACAGGATGCTCAGAATCTAAACCCTAAACACTATTTCACTTCCTCCCCAGAGTGTCTGGGGCCATTTGCAGGAAGTACAGGTTTTCCCACCTCGAACCTGGAGATCTGGGTTTAGTAGAGGTTTTGCTTGGAACCCGGCAGTCACCAATCTTTTTAAGCAATGTCAGTGATGAGCCAGATGTGGGAACATTTACATGCTCCATCATGAATCA